GCCTTGAACACAGTTGATTTACGTATGTGCAATAAATTATCTAGGCATCAAACTTCTGGACCAAAATGAATGTGTGAAGTTTGGACAGGTACTGCTGGAGTTATCCACGGATGGAGCTCTTCCGAGGATTGCCTGGCTCCAATCTTCCACTGGGAAGTTACCACTGTACAGGACTGCTTCTTCTTGCTCTTCCGAACCCAGCAGCCAGTGAGTTTGGAATCAATGAATAAACCAAAGCATCCAAATGACATCCATTTCCCATTCCCCATGCGTCACAACAGTGTGGCCTTGGGTAAATGACAGAACCTCTCTGAGCTCTGATTCTGCATCTGGCCAAAGAGACGCTGACAACCCCCACTCTGAAGACTGGCTCTCACAACCAGATGGAATCACAGTTCCATCGAGAACCATGCAGTGTAGACAGCCCCAAGCCATGTGCAGCTATTGGGATGGCAGCTAAAGCGAAGCCTTGGCCAGTTAGAGGTCAGCGCTAAATCAACACGTATTTAACCTCAGAGATGGTATGTGTTGAACTCCATAAACTCCCAATTAGAGCCTCAGACACTGCAAGGACAATTTGGTGGGGTTCCTACCAGCGTATGCTGACTGAAGAGAAGGTCCATTTGGCAGCACATACTCCCCAAGGAGAAGCAGATGTCTGGCCCCTGCATACTTCATCTACCCCCTACACACCAACGACCAGAACTAATTTTTCAGTGGAATTTTTACAGGCATTTAAAGCAACTGCTAATGGAGAAATGAGTCTTGGCAGGAGAGATGTGTCCCAAGAAGGGTCAGGGGAAAAGCCTTTCCCCAGATTATTTCCAAGGCAGACATCCCCAGGGAGCCTGAATTAAAAGGGCTTAATAGGTCCTATGAGAACTAGCCAGAACCAGCTGTAATTAAGACCTGCTGATCATCACATGCCACGTCTGATGGAAGCCTCACACTGAGAATTTGAGTGTCTTATTGGGAAGAAGGGCTGGCTAGCCTCCAGAAATCTCCAGGCATGAGGTGGCTGCCCTGCTGTCTCTGTTTTACATTGTGATTGAGCACTGAACTGCAGCCCAAATTGATATGTCCTGCCCAGACCCTAGCCTGGGAGAACAATTGCTCGTACTGCCCTGCAGGCTACTGGGTCAGGGGCTGGTAATTGACAGAGAGCTCATTATGGGAAGACAAAGCCCCAGAGAACCTCGGAAGCTGTACGGCCATGGCAGCAGGCCTGGGGTCAAGTCACCAGGGACATATAGGGCCAAGGGGAAAGTGTCACGGATGCAGGGGAAAGCAAAGTTCTAGAAACAGCCCAGCCGTAAGCCGGAGAACTCACTGTTGAAATTCAACTCTGTATATTCTTCAAAGGGACTTTTGGGGGATGCCACTGAGTTTTTTTTTTCATTTACCTCGGTTTTTTTTTTTTTTACCATATGTAAGATGGAGGTGAGAATAAACATAATTTAAGGAGTGGGTTTGTCGCTTTTCTCGTAGCTAGCACAAAATACCTGAAAAAGCAGTTTACAGAAAGAGGGTTGGTTTATTTGGGCTCACCGTTGGAGGAGTACAGTCTGTCATGGCAGGGAAGGCAATGGGGACAAGGGGCAGCTAGTCACATTGTATCTTCTGTCAGGAAACGGGGGGGGAATACATGGTGCTCAGCTAACTTTCTCCTTCCTGTTCAGTCTAGAGCCCCAGTTTATAGGACGGTACCACACAGGTGTAGAGCAGGCCTCCCCACCCCAAGTCACCCAGGTGAGAAACTCCCTCAGAGACATGCCCAGACATTTGTCTCCTTGATCACCCTCGGTCCCGTCATATTGACAGCCGATAGTAGCCATCAAAAGGAACAAAATGTGTGGGTAATAGACATCATAGTGATGATGATAAGCCCATTTCCATTTCTGGATACCAGGAACCATGCTGACACTGTCAAAAGCTGCGATTCAGGCGTATTAACTAAGTTTGTTAGTCAATTTCCGCAATGCAGCCTACCCTTTTATGGTGATACCTTTCTTGCACCAGTAAGGCCTGTCTAAGAGATCAGCGAGAAGGAGCAAGCCACAACACACATTGCCCATTGAGAAGACAGTGATTTCCTGTTTCTCCCTGCTTATATCCTGTTTCTGCCCAGCTACGTCACTTCCTGCCTGTCTGTACAGACCTCCAGACTTCTGTGGTTAGCTAGTGGTAAGCTCCATTCTCTGACCCCCAGACAGGCTTTATTTGTGCAAGATAGACATCAGCACATAATATTGGCATCACCTTGCACGTGAGAATAACAAGGAACGGAGACTCTATGACACCACTCCCAGCAGGTTAGAAGAAAAAAAAACTGGAGCTAGGGAGTATGCCTTCTGTCTCCAGAGTTCACCCTTGTAAGAACATGACAGGTTTAAATGGAGAAGGGCTCCAGGAATACTTGGCAAGGAGGTGGTACTATCAGCAAGGCTCCTTCTTTTCTCCACAAGCTCCTATATGCAGCTGTGCCAAACTTTAATTCTAGACGGACTTTAATCTACAGGGCAAGTATGTGTCAACCCCACAGACAGACAGCTACAAGTTCTTCCACATTTCCCTGTCAAACCTTGGAAGCTCGGAAATCCTACAAACGGCCAGTAACTCCCCATGTAAGTTCCAGAATAAGTGACCATCGATCTCCATGCCTTGTGTCTGTTGAGCACCTACTACGTGCCAGGTATTCCTCACCCATGCTTCCTGTCCTCACAATGACTCCCAGAGATAGATGTGAGTGGCCCCTTGTATATGTGTACTAACTGAATTCATGGGAGGAAAATGACTTGGCCATGGTGACACACATGAAAACTTGGGCTCCTGACCTACTATTGGAACTCAAATCTTCCACATATGAATCTGGCCTCAGACAGAACCTATACATAGTGATGACTGAGGGCATCTACAGAGCTTAAGACAGCCATCCTAAAAAGGCCAGGGCATCTACAGAGCTTAAGAAAGTCATCCTGGAAAGGCCAGATCCCTGCCTCTACAACAATTGGGACCTAACAAGTCAGACACTCCAGAACCTGCTATATTCCAACTACTAAGATGGCATGAAGCATCTCTCTTAGCGTGTCTTTAAGTAGCTAGGTTTCACATGAACCACTGAAGTTATTCATGAATTCACCGGAGCCTGCCATCCTCTGTGGTGTTGCTGGTGTCTACTCCTCCTCAATCGTACCTCTCTTCGCTCCAGACTACCTAGGACAAAGAGCCAGGACCTCCTATCCCAGGCCTGAGCCACCCTCTCGGCTTCCGGCACACCTTGTTCCCCATCTCCATGTGAGGTGCACCATATGGCATTGTGGTTATGTTGGTTGGTTGGGTTTCCACCTTCCCCACTGGCCCTGGGGACAGGTTATCTCACATTCGGGTTTCCAATCCTAGAACTACGCAGCCCTTGGAGATAGAGTTGTCTCAATCTAGTATTAGCTTCATGGGGAGAAATTCCCAACCCCTGAGTTGATCAAAATCTCAAATTCTTTGATCTTGGCCATGAATACATCAGAGGAAGAGCAAGGGAATAGAAAGAGGGATGAAGGTCTCATTTTCATTTACTGTTTCACTCAAGCCAATGGGAGTTGGTCTATAACAAGTCAGTGCATTGACTGAACTAGGCCTGGGGTACTAAGCCCAGCACTGTTTAGCTGTCACCAATCACTGTCACTAAAGGGAGCAGGCAAAAGCACCTTGTCCTGAGTACTGCCATTTTGACTTCAGACTCTATTTTACCTGCAGGGTGAAATAAAGTTCAGGTTCCCAAGCCCTAGGAAGAGCTGAAAACTTTGCAATGGCTGACCAACCTCTTCCCTAAACCATAGACATGGACGTTATGCATCTTTAGTTCTTTGGATATATTACGGCTGTTCCTAACACAGAAGGAACAAATGAATCTGATTGGTTGGACGGAAAGGCTTGCATTGTATGTCAGTTGACAATGATAGAACGTACAAGAAAGCCCCTAATCTCTAAATCCCAACTGGTGAAAACCATAGCTGTAACTTGGCAACAAATGTTTGTGGATTTTATGCTTGTAAACCCCACTTCTGCCCCTGCCCAGGGGCGTCAGGAGAAACCAGGCTCCCAAGTCCTTGCCCTGCAGCCCAGACTGATCAGTGACCCACTTATGTGGTGATTTAATGAGATCTTTGAAATGTATAGTATCATCCCTCTCCTTCCTAGTGGTGCGTAACAGGTGTCATAGTCACAATGATAAGAGTCCTAGGAAGAGACTAAGGAAGGACAGGGGTGAGGACTTCCTAGAAGAAGCCTTCATCTTCTCCCCCAACTTACAGTCTTGAGCCACAGCCATTATCTGGGTGCTGGATCCCACCTGTATTTGTTTAGTAAATAAAGTGTTATTGAGCGCTGCTGGGTTCGCTCATCTGTGCAATTTCTGTCACCTCTGGCACGTCAAGGTCTGAGCAAAATAAGGATATAAGCAGGCAGTGTTGTTTGCTATTTGGCACTTGGTAGAGCATTTTTCCCACATTGCCACCTTGAAAACCCCAACAACGGATGCTTGGGTTTCCCAGGTCACTTCAAACCTTGGAGTATTGGAGTATCTTTGCTTACACTCTGAGCTAATCACGGACTTTCCCGTAAGTGCACCCTTTAGGCTTTGTTAAGCACACTGCAGTCTGTTTGTATTGCAAACAATCCAGATAGCCCACACCACGCACTGGCACATCCACACTCCTGGGCATATTTCACCACATCTGCCCCCAGAGAAGCCCCACGGTTTCTCAGCCCAGGACTCTAATGAGGGACAGAACTTAAGCCCCTCCACTCCTTCCTTGAGGCCTTGAATTCCCACAGGAAAACTACACAAACAGCTTCATGGCATCACATCACGAGCCTAATATTTTCATCATCTCTGAGCCCAGAAATAATTGGAATTCCTGACACTGACACTCCCCCAGTGGTCACTCGTTCTCTCTCTCTCTCTCTCTCTCTCTCTCTCTCTCTCTCTCTCTCTCTCTCTCTCTCTCTCTCTCTCTCTCTCTCTCTCTCTCTCCCCACCCCATCACAGCACCAGCCCATGTGCAGCAAAGGGTCAGAAGCAAGTTGAGGATTCCAGCACTCCCAGGGCACGGGGATGCTTTATCTCCTTCAAGACTCTGTTGAAACAGTAAGTTGCAATTTTCTGGCATTGCTCACACAACCCAAGCTCAGGCCTGCGTGTTCCCGGTAGATCAGGTCTTCCAGGCAGGGAGGTTAAACAGACCCTGGGGAGAGAGTTCTCACAGAGAACAATGGGACCTATTTCAGAGACAGCAGTGTGCACAGGTGGTGGTAACCATGGAGCTGGCAACATGGGGACTTGGCAGAAATGAAGACCCCCTCAGACAGCACTCCTGGGAAGTGGGGTAGTCGTCCGCGTGTCACACAGCCCTGGGCCTCAGGGTACAGCAGCCACCGTACTCATCCTCCCAGGGCTGGCTAGGGCTAGCCTGGTTCTGAAGTAGCACAGGACAGGGCATCACTGCAGGGTTAGAGACAGGACTGGGAAACTTGAACAATGAGGGAAGCACACTCAGGAGAACCAGGCTGGGGGTATCCCAGGGTTTGGGAGGCAGCTGCTGTGATTTGCAAACGAAATGTCCCCTCTCGCTACATGTGAGGACACAAGGTCCCCAGCTGGTGGCGCTCTTCAGAGGATTTCAGGGTTGTTTTTATGTAGCCAGTCTATCAACACTCAAGGACTTAAAACTTGCTATAATATAAATAAACCAAGAGCACCAGGAAGAAAGGGGGGGGGTCCTTTATTAAAGTGTACCAAAATACAGAAGGAAGCTGACAATTTTAACAGAGTGCTTCAAAAGAGAAAATTACAGGATGCCATGGGATCCTGAAGGAGGGAGCCTGGAAGGAGACAGCCTGGAGGTTTGAGACACATTGCCAGGGACTGGGTTAGAACACCTGGAGACGAACAGTGTATTTAAATGCGTGGAGATTCACAGAAAGACAGGATCTACACCTCCATCCACGCATCTACCCACCCACCATCCAAGCATCGCCACCGACTTACCCATCCAGGAAGAAAATACTCAGCCCCCCAGCCCAAACAAGTTCACGAGGCAGTCCAGCCATCTTTGAACCCTTGTCTGTCCACTTGGTGTATTCACCATTGTCACTGCCAGTGTTGTTTGTGTGGCTCTCACCCACCTCCACACAGCTGTCGCAACGAGCTGTCAGGGAGACTAACGTCACCATGGCACTCCTGTTCCCATCCCTTCAAGAGCTCCCTTGCACCCCCAAGGGAGATGATTCACAGGGCCCTGCTGCTCAGTGGTGCCAACCCTATCCTGAGACCATCTCCTGACCATCTGGCTCTATCCTCATCTTCCAACCCTATCCTGAGACCATCTCCTGGCCATCTGGCTCTATCCCCATCTTCCAACCCCATCCTGAGACCATCTCCTGGTCATCTGGCTCTATCCCCATCTTCCAACCCTATCCTGAGACCATCTCCTGGTCATCTGGCTCTATCCCCATCTTCCAACCCTATCCTGAGACCATTTCCTGGTCATCTGGCTCTATCCCCATCTTCCAACCCTATCCTGAGACCATCTCCTGGCCATCTGGCTCTATCCCCATCTTCCAACCCTATCCTGAGACCATCTCCTGGTCATCTGGCTCTATCCCCATCTTCCACTGCCGACCCGCCTTGCTCTGACCTGGGCTCCGGACTCCCTTGTCTCCAGTGTCTAACAACTTAAGTTCCACTCTCTGCCTGAGTAAGGTCCATCCCCTTGTCCTGACAGGTGGGCCGGACATCCAGGAATCTGATGGGAACTCTCCTTTGTTCATATATCTGCAATTCAAGTATTCCCCCAGTCTCTTCACTCCACACCACCCAAAGTAAGTGTGGCCCTGACAGAGGACCCAGGTCCTCAGGTCTCCTCTTACTCCCTACCCTCTAGAGACAAACGGGCGGGCTCTGTGCTGCCTGTCTCCTCACATCTCTCCACCGTTATGTTTTAAGTTTGGTTTAGCATACAGAGGAGAACATTTGCCATTTTAGCTCTGCTCCTTTGCTGCCTTGAGACAGGGTCTTGGCTGGCTCACACCTAGCTATGCAGCAGAGGATGACCTTGAACTTCTGATCCCTGGACTCTGTCTTCTGAGTGCTGGGATTGCAAACATGAATCACCACACCATTTATGTGGTGCTGGGGATTGAAGCCAGGGCTGACTACTAGGGAAGCACTCTCAACTGAGCCACACCCCCAGGGCTGGCTACTAGGGAAGCACTCTCAACTGAGCCACACCCCTAACACACACCTCATCCAATTCCAAGTGCTCGGTTCAGCAGTACCAACACCGCCCAGCTGTCTGCAGAACTTTCCATCTTCCCTGGTCCTCTGTATCCCAGAAGCAGTAACTCCCCATCCTCTGACAAGACATCTTTAAAATACATAATGTATCTAGGAGGCTTAGATCTTACTTATTCCTTCATTTTACTACTCTGGGATTTACAAAGAAGATTGACACATTTTATCACTTGACTCTCAAATGACTTCAAAGAGGAAAGTCTGGGCAGAGGGTCCATTATGCAAAATGCTTGGGTCCAGAGGTATTTTTGGATTTTGAACTTAGAAACTTCTGCCTATACATACAGAGATGTCTTGGAGGAGAGACCCAGGTCTAAACTCTGGACTCTTAGTGTGTGTCATGCTCTCTTTATTTCCACAGGCTGTGGGTAACTATGTATATAGTATATATGTACAGTATTTTAATGTGCCTAGTCCCCTGAGGTACCATCTGGTGATCAGAAAGTTTCAAGTTTGGAGTTTTGGATGAAGGATGCTCACTTGAATTTTATGCCCCGTTTTACAAAAGACAATACTAAAAGATTGCCTCAAAATCCTAGAGTTAATAAATGTCTACGAGATAACCTACCTATCTCTAGCTTTCCCTGAAGCCAATAGACTCAGGTCTCCGGTACAGGCTACCTTTCCACTCTGCCCAGGCATAGCCAATGTGAGTTTCTGGATCCCAGGAGGATAAGGAAGAAATGGGAAAGAGCAAGCAGGGTACATGCTTGGAATGAGCACTGGGAAGGCCTGGAACTTCCGGGGGAGGGACAAATAATATCCATTTGCTACTGAATGAACCCCAGGTAGAATCCGAAACACCTCTGAGACGCCGGTTGCAATGCAGAATCTAAGTGGAGGAGGAGAAGTGCGGAGAGTGGGAAGAAGGAAGCAAGGGAATTTTTTTTATTAGTTTAGAGTAAGAAGCATAAAGAGAAGTCACGAGCCCAGGCCGCCTGCACCAGACTCAGCATTCCTAACTGTTGCGCTATTCTGCACATTGCTAATATCAGGGTCAAGAAAGAGGCAGGGGAGAAGGGGAGAAGGGGGAAGAGGAAGATGGCATGATTCTAGATCTGTCCATGTTCAGTCAAGCACTGTTAGAAGCACATTGTCCCATTGATAGTGTGAGGACTCTCTGCTCTCCAACAGGCTACTGCTATGACTGAGATAATGAGCCACCCAGATCACTGCTGGTCCCTAGGCAATAAGAGCCCCATTTGTCCTAACTAATCCCATTAAACCAAGAGAAAGAAATCGATTGGGTGTCATAGCTTGAGGATCACGACCTTTTAGGAGGTATCATGATCTGCGGTCATGCAATCATTTACAGCCACTCATTAGCTTGTATTTAGTGAGTACCTGTTATATCTTAGGAACTGTGCTAGCTGCCAAGATAAAGTGTTCACACACACACACACACACACACACACACACACACACACACAGAGAGAGAGAGAGAGAGAGAGAGAGAGAGAGAGAGAGAGAGAGAGAGAGAGAGAACAAAAATAAAGCAAGTGTCCGTGGATAGTTAACCACCTAGCTCTCAGCATGATCCAGCCAGAGCAAAATGAAATCACACAGGTCCTTTTCAATTTAGTTTTCTAGAAGCCACATCTAAAAGGGACCAGGGAGTCAACTTTAATAATGACTTTAACTTGATAAGGCTAAAACATTGTCGTTTCAGTCGGCAACTACTATAAAAACTGTCCATCAAATATTTTACTTCCCAGGCCTTGCAATTTCTGTTTGTTTGATACATTGAAGTCTTTGCTAATATCCAATCACTCAATAGCTTCCTGTACCTTGCGGTTACTGTGTCTAAATGGAAGACAGACCCTGGTAATAGTGATGTTGCTGACTGCGTTGTCTTACAAGAGAAAAGATAAAGCACTGTGGAATTGATGGATCAGCACTTCCTTGGCAATCTATAGATACAGGCTGCCCTCTTAGCTATTTCTCTAACAAGCCAGGTGAATCCGTGGAAATTGGCTTGCCTGATCATCTTGTTTGTCATATAGCTAGGACTTGCCAGATCGGCTACCAGCAAAAGTAAAGAGATATCCGGGAATGTACTTATTATATTTAAGAGCTAAAGCTGTAAAAGTGTGTGTGTGTTGGTGACAAAACTATAAACAGAAATTGGAAGGCTGGGTTTTTTAATATGTGGGAAGAAAAGTCAATATTGATTTCCACTTTGAAAATATCATCAAATGACCTACAGGTAGAGTAAAACATTAACCATGAGAAATTAAAAAATAAAGGAGTGTACTGTGCTGGATTTCTCTGTGATCAAGTCTCTGTAACAAGAAGAAATTCCAGAATTGGAAAGCTTCAGGAAGACATCTTATATGAAAAGACCAAGAGCTATGATGGAAAGGCTTCCTATCAAAACAAACGCTTGACCCTAACTAAAAAACAACAGCAAAGAATCTAAGGGAAGTTATTACAACCACACCCACCAGGGGTTAAAATTCTTCACTCCGTGATGAGAAAAAAAGATCATTGAGACCACAGGATAGAAATGAACTCCAGTTTTCAAAAAATGTTCAGACTCACCCCAAATCCTTAATACACACCAATATTCAAAGATCAGAATTTATACTTCTAGCAGAAGGCGGCCAGGACCTGTACGATTCAGGAGGAGTGTGAACGCAGGAAGGGATCTCATTCCTGTGAACGCTCATCACTGTCATTTAAACTCAGCCTTCTTTGGTGACGCATGCAGGCACACCGTGTAATCCGGGCAGTGCCATGCAAACGTGTGAGGTCTTCAGTACATAGTGGCTGGAAGGCTGTAGCTTGCAAGGCAGCTGTTGCCTGACATGCCGTCATTGATCTCTCTGCTTGCTCAGTTCAGCCAACTCTTTACTGTGTTCCTTCCATGTTGGGTGTGGGAGTCTAGACTGAAGAATCCGAACACCTGCCCGAAAAGGCTCTGAGACTAACAAGAGAAGCTGACCATGACAGCACGTGGCGATAGACATCTGCCCAGTGAGGGCAGGGAGGGGAACAAGAAGCATTTTCTCTATGTATTCCTCAATATGCACATGCCCCTAGTGATGGAAGTCCTCACATTATGATAGAAGAGTGTTTGACGTGGGGCCTTCTAAGTATGCCCTTTGTGGTGTACCTGGTCTCTTCCGCTCTCAGTGAGCTAGACGCTAATAAGGCACCCCAGACATGTGTCGCAGATATGAAAAAGACAAACCAAAGACGATACGGTAAACCCTCTGGCACATAAAGGTATGACTCCGTAACCCACCAGGCAGCCATTTGCTTCAATGTCTCATAGCTATGACAAATAACATTTACACAAAACACACAAAGTGTGCTTTCACAGCTAAGTAGAAACAGTTCACAAATATTTCATTCCAGTAACTGTTATATGTGTATATGTATAGTATGTCTGAACACGCGGGACACAGAAGGGTAGTTACTCGTCAATGCCTGTGTGTTAACGTTATGGGTGATTCATAGCACCTCTTCCCTTATCTATCCCAGCTGCTCTCACAAACACACATGGCTTCCGTAATGATGGTTATCCCCCCAAAACAAACAAATGAACTCATCGACTCTGCAGAGCGGAGAAAGTAAAAACAGCTTCTGTTTTTGAGGGCTGTGTCCTACATGTAGATCTGATGACACTGGATAGATTGCCTTCTTACCTCACAGTATCTCCAGGAGATGGAGGTGGTTACTTTGTGTCAGAGCTGACCTTAGGAACCTGGAGACCTCAAGTAAGTCCCTGCAATCCTTACTTTCCTCCTGGCTGTGATAAGAATCCGAACAAGATCTAGCGCCTGATTTGGCAAATGAGGAGGGTGAGCCACAGAGAGTCCCATCTACTACCTTGTTGAATATATCCCCCCAAATGGCATGTTCAGCCAGAGCGTTAGACAGGGATGTTATTTGCAAGGGGAGATGTTACTTGCAGATACAAGTGGCTAAAACCATGTCACCCTAGACCGAATATGGCAATCCACAGGTCCAGCAGCTGATGTCATTAAAAGATGCTGCCAAGAACTGAGATGAGGCATACACAAGCCGAGAAGGACCAAGGATTGACAGCAACTCCCACAAGTTTGGAAGACCTCTGCTCTTGGGTCTTCCCAAGGAGCCTGGCTCGATCAATCATGGTTCATTGCCATTTGTTACACAAGAAGCTGCAAAACACCAGTACATTCATGTTGCCCAAACTCACGCATCTCACGAGGGATGGAGCCCTGAGGAGTACTGGGTCATCAGGCTCTAATGTCCTCTCTTCAAGCCACGGGCAGCTGTTGTAAAAAATTAAAATGGTAAATTGAATGGAGCGCTTGACTCTGCACCTATACATTGTAAGTGCTGAACAAATGCTTCTTATTGGTAGCCTCTAAAGATGTGGAAAATTCCCACTGCCTAATTTTAAGGGGAAAAGCCATGATTTAAAATCGAATATGGATGGTGATCTCAGCATTCATATGACATAGAAAACTGGAGAGAATAAACCAAAGACAGCTGCTCATAAATTAGGCAGTTACAAAGACTTTTTTCCTTCATATGTTGCCATTAAGAGTCTTACTGTTTCTTTTTACTGAATATGCATTACTTTTCCACATTTAACTCAAATTTTAAACTCTCAAACAATAAGGCAATAAATAACCAATCCTGCCACACAGCAAAGAAACCAGTAAGTCATTCATGGTCACTCCCATGACCACGCAATCAGTCTGGGGCCATGGTTTATCTTTGTAATCAGAGAAGCATACGCAGAGAAGCGATTTGTTTGTTCAGCAGAGCACAATAGGAGCAGCTCACTCCCTGCCTACCGGCCGATCTAACTATTGCAGCAGACCCAGGGGATTTTCACACCCTGAGTTCTCCAGGGATGGTGACCTGAAGCAGGATGTCTGATTCCTAAGGAGGAGGAAAGCAGCTCAACTCTGGGGAAATTCAGAGACACTGGCTGACAATTGCTGGCACTATCCTCCAGCCCATGTGTGGGTGTGGAGCCGCTATTATGTATTAGATCCTACAGGGAACCGCAACAGTGACACATCGACTGAAATCTCTGGGCTGCTAGAGCCGACATCCTTGTGGGAGTTAGCAAATTCTAAGAGATTATATAAGATGAACGTGATTTGAGAAATAAAAAAGTGAGAGATGTTGTAAGTGAAAGAGTGTTTTCCCCAAAGCTGGTGTCTATCTGGAAATCTAGAAGGTAACCTTATTTGGAGATATAGTGTTTGTGGTATAATTCAAGTATTACTTGGGATGAGGTTATACTGGATTCAGGTGGATAGACCCTAATGAAAGTCACATTCAAATGGGATCAAAACAAAACCAGAGTGACATGAAAAGATGACAAGACACAGGCAGGTCTCTGGTGATGTGGTCATGAGCTTGGGGCTCTCTGGGGCCACCAAGACACAAAAATCTTGCCCAGGAGCTTGCAGAGGGTACACAGCTCTGCCGCCATCTTGATGCCAAATTTTGACCTCCAGAACAAGGACAAGAGGACACATTCTATTGTTTTAAGCTCCCACGTTCTTGGTGGCTGTCACTACGGCCTCGGGAAGCTAATACAAATGAATCTGCAGACTAGCCAAGGTAGAGAGTGGTGCTCTCCAACAGAGGGAGGTAGGGATGACTCACCCTGTGAGACACATTAGGGTAGCATTGCTGGGGAGAAGCCGTGCCAGGAAAAGAGCATCCCGTCAGGAAATTAGGCACCGCGGTGGCCCTGGAGCAGTGTGAGAGCATGAGACAGTAATTAGAGAACAACACAGTGTCACCTAGTCAGGGAGAAGACATGCTGCATGGTGAGGACTCCCTGCTCCAGATGTTGAGCTTGGGAAGAAGAGCAGCTGTGAACAGTCTCAGAAGGTGAGCGCTCCGAGACGCTTGATGTTTCAGAGTACCGGGCCGACCCCCTTAGGAGAAACCAGTCAGTGTGGAGGAGACACAGCATTCTGGATAGACGCTCACAGCACAAGCTGACAAGGGTTGCTAACGGACTGTGGTTGACTTTTGAGACAAATATGCAAATTACCACTAAACAACTGGTTTCCCAAATGGAAGACTGCAGGGGAGCAGACTTGTCTTTCCTTCCTTCTTTCTTCCTTCCTTTCTTCTTCCTTCCTTCCTTCCTTCCTCCCTTCCTTCCTTCTTTCTTTCTTCCTTCCTTACTTCCTTTCCCTCCTTCCTTCTTTCTTTTCATTCATGCATCTTGATCTCACTCATTTCTCCATCCCCTCACATCTGCCCTCCATCTCTGTACCCCCCCCCATAAAACAAAGTTCAAGAGCAAACGTTAAAAATCTCATCATGGGAGCTGCACTGTGACACGGTGAACCGCACAGTGACCCTTTGTCCATATGCCTTCACTTGCAAGTGTTCATTGCAAAGCCACTGATGTGATTCGAGGCCTCTGGGTTTCTACTACACTGTCAGTGCTGGGACCCCACTGGGACTCTTCTTGGATATCCTGTTGTTGGCCTGTGCTGTGGAGATCCTGCAGCCTTGGGTCTGTGGGTCAGTCCCCTTCAAGCGCTCCAGCAGATCACAGAGGAGGTGGATGTTGGACCAGGCTGAGTCATAACCCTGATTCTGGGCCTGGGCAGCCGAGGGTTGGTCAGCCCTCCAGCTCTCCCTTGTCCTCACCACCAAGGTGAGCTCTCCAGCATGGCTCTGGGTACTTCAGCCCTTGCTGAAATGAGTTGGGGGTGGGACCAGCTGGTTCTCCTGCCTTCACATCCTCAGGGTCAGCTCGCCCCCACCTACACCATCAGGGACAGCCCTACTGTGCTGCTCAGGCAAGGTGCAGAGGCCATCCATCCTCCTGAGTGCTGCAGCTGGTGAGGGGCAAGGACACACAGAGAGACAGACAGACAGACGGACAGACGGATGGACGGACAGACAGACACACACACACACACACACACAGGGCTCTTGTAGGACCAGCCCCTCCGCCTGTCTTGTGTGTTAACAGGCAGGGGGTTTGGAGGAGAGGGCATCTCTCCTCTGCTCATGCCACCACATGTCAGATGAACAATAGGGACAGTCCTAACCCCCTAACCCCCTACCTGCACCCACAACAGGGTTGCTCACACCTCCGCCAACAGGGTCAGCTCTACTGTGCTGCCTAGAGAGGAACAGAGACCACTTTCCTGAGTGGCACAGCTGGTAAGAGTCAGCTGGCTTATCTGTTGCAGGCAGTAAGGGGTGGAGGGTAAGGGGGGACATCTCTCCCCAACCCACACAGCAGCATGACAGACAGGTAGTGGGGACTTCTACTCATACACCTTTTGGAGCAGCTCACCCACACCTCCGCCGACAGGGTTGCCCGAGTGAGGGAGTGAGGGGCAGGGTCTGCTCTCCCGAGTGTTGCAGTTAGTGTCGGGCAGGGACAGCTCTCCAGGTCTTGTGACCTCAGGGCCAGTTCTCCAACCTGCCTAAGGCATCGATGGCACGGGGTGGGGGCTCATTCCTCTACCCACACCACCACAAGACAGATGACAGCGACAGCTCTCCCATGCTCACAGCTTTGGGGCTGGATCACCTGCACCTGTGCCAAAATGGTTGCCTCTATGATGCTGCCTGGGTGGGACTGGACAGCAGGCTATGGGGAACAAATCTCCTGATTTCCACTTGCCTCAGAGCTGTATAAAAGCAACAAAGGCTAAACCTGCTTTTAGAAAACTGTGTGGAGACTCCAAACTTCAGCCTGTCTTTTTTTTCTTGCATGTCCCTCTAGGCATTGATCATCCCAGTGGCCCGAATGACCCACCCCAGCGGCTATCAAGAAAAAAAAGTCACTTGCTAAAAGAGACTATTGAGTTCCTCCTCTACCCTCACGAAGAAAGGCTTAGTTCAAACAGGAACCATGCACAAGTATTGACAAAAATGTGCAGAAACTGGCATCTTAAAATATCAACAGTGGGAATCTGAGATGTAATGGTCGCTATGAAAAACAGTCTGCTAGTTCCTCAAAAAGTTAACTCAGATTACTGAGGACCCAGCAACCGTGCTTCCGCTGTACACAAATGAACGCAATGGCTAAAGCATGTGTGTGTCTGCCTGAGTCCACGGGATGATGGTAGCCAAGAGGCAGACCCAGCCCAAGTGTCCATTAACACCTGGACGAGCAAACAAAATGACGGCGTATCAATAAAATGCAGCATTATTCAGCTTTGCGAGGAAGGGAGTCCGGAGACATGCTAGAACATCAACGCACCCTGGGGACATTATATCCATATGAAATAATATGGGTTGACGGTGATCTTGATTGACAGCCTGATGGGATTTAACAGAACCCAGGTGCGGGAATTCAGTTTCCTCCTTACATCTTGGAGGGAAATTTCAGAAGACAGGCATGTAAAAGGAAGTGAAACAATGGGATGTTTCAGGACAGGATGTTTCCAAGGAGACGAAACAACAGGATGTCCTGGGTGGGGGTGGGTAAAACACTCAAAATAACGTCAGCAAGTCCCTGAAATTAACAAGATTCACTAGCCCCCTCTCATCCCTTACCAAGAGCGTATAAATAGTAAAACTGCTGAGAGTCTCTCTCACACAGGCTAAGCTGCAAGGAAGCCTCTGAACCCAACCCATCAACCGGAAGAAGCAGAGACCAGCCCCGAAGCCTGGAAAAAGGTAACGCCAACTGAGTCACCAGGAAAGGGCACTCCCGAATCCATTTGGCTGCCTACCAGCTGTGTAGTATGCTCCAGGACTCTAGTTTATGTCATCTGTCACCCATGCTGGGGTTGGCTTTGGTGGTCTGGCTGTCTTTGAGTTACTCCTACTCCTGTGGGTCACCCCTCACCCACATTCCTATAAGTAAGCCCAATAAAACTCATGGGTTCACCACGCTGGATTTGGTGCTATCTGTACTTTGGTCTGTCATCAGTTGTCAGTCCCCTATAACTTTTCATGTCTCCCTAAGAGTACTGTCACACAACACTGGAGACAAATGTCCAGGCACATTTGTGAGGATGTTTCTAGAGATGTTTACCCGAGGTGGGGAAGACCTTCTCTTGTTGTGGGCAGCTCACTGCTCGGGCTGCAGCCCAGACTGAAGGCAAAGCAGAGAGCTTGACTAAGAGTGTTCACCTCTCTCTGCATCCCGACCACGGGACCAATGACATTCCTGGCACCACAGCAGAATCACTCCTTTCCCACCGTGATGGAGCCCAAACTAAACGTTCTCAAGTCCATTTTGTCATGTAATCCGTCATAACAATGAGGGAAGTAATCAGCACACGGTTGTATAATTAACTCTGCTTATAACATGCGCCATTAGATCTGTAAAGGAAAGGCAGGATGTGGGTTCCATGGGCTGTGGTGACAGGAGAATAGGACACTGATGTTTGCAGGCTTCCTTTGGAGGTTATGGAATGTTGTGGAGATGGTTTCGTGAAGTAAATGCACCTAACACTAGTGAACTGTGCACAGAAAATGGTCCACGTAGCAAAATGATTTTCCACAGTGAAAGAAAGTGTGTGACAGTGGCATCCTGGAGCTATAGCCTGGACAATTTCACGTTAATGTGACACATGCATTACAGGAACTTCCATCTCTCACAGTCTGAACACAACACTGTCGTCTGCAGAATGGACAGTTATGGTACAAGATCCCATTAGCACCATGTGCCACATTCTGCGACAGAAAAGCACTGTGCTAATTGAATCAGTCTCCCAGGCAGCAGTAGGAGACAAGAGCAAGGATTGGGTCAGCTGCACATAAGAGGACCTGAGATAATAAATTACAGAAGGCCACCACCAGGAAAAAAGAAGAGACTTAAAGAGCACCTTAGTCTGTTTGGGATGTTATAACAAAACAGTGTAGAGTCAGTGTCTTACAAAAAACAGAAATTTACATCTTACAGCTCTAGGGACTGAGAAGTCCGTAAGCCACATACAACCAGATACAGTGTCTGGTGACACATTCCGGCTCATAAGCGGCTGTCTTTTCACTGTAGCTTCATGTGGTAGAAGACGTAAAGGGTTATTGATGTCCTTTTTTTTTAAGAGTGCTAATTCCATTTATCAGGGCTTCAATTTCATGATGTAATCATCCCGAAAGACTACCACCTGAGAGTCTATGGTAGCAATATATAAAATAAGACCACAGAGGGACCATTTCGTTAGAGGAACTTGGCGCTGTCTTTTTATAGACCCTCAATGGGGAGGAAACTTTACACAACCACGCAGCACGTTAATCCTCAGATGGCAGCCTGACCTCATCCTGTTGCCCGCTCAGCCAGTCTGCTTCACTGAGCCTACACACTCTTTCTGATCCTGGGTAGAACAGGGGAGGGGGCTGCACACTTAGCTTCCCTGTAGTTGTCAAATGCTAGACAAGCTAAGAACACAAAGGCATGTACTCTTAAGGGGAAGCCTTCGTTTGAACCTTGTGAAATTGGAAAGAAGCGAACACTGTATTTGTCAAGACTCAGTGAGTCACATGTAAATCTTCAACAACCATTGTACAATTCAAAAAAAGGCACAAATCTAGGTGTTAGGCTCTGTCTCTGGGCCAAAGTTTCTCCATTTGAAGAACTAGGGACGCTGTTGTGGTAAATTTGGAAAGGAAATTGTAAAATGCTCTATCACTGTGACATTAAAAACAGGCATCTAAAAATGTTGTCATCTGCTTCGGTGATTCCAGGGATGGTTTGTCTGAAGAAGTCATGTCCAATAGAAATGGAATGAGATTCTCCTATGCTACTTAAAAATTTCTAGATGCTACAATAGAAGGAGTAAAAGAAAGGGTAAAATTATTTTTAAGAAGCATTTTATTTCACTCAGTAGAGTCAACATAAGAATACTTCAACATGTAGTCCATGTGAAAACATTCTTTTTAATATTGTCCCTGTATTTTATAGCTAAAGCACACCTCAGCTTGGACTAGCCACAGTCACGTGCCCCTTGTACTTGGGGCTACCACATTAGAACATGGTTTTGCAGGTCTGAATGACTTTGTTGATTCTTCTCTGTCAGACTCTTGGAGTTAAAATTTAAGGCATCTAATTTATGGAAAACGTATGTTATGTATCCTGATTTGTATTTCCTTGCTGTTGAACTCATCCAACAAATTCAATTTACTCTTTAACCAGAAAGTTTGACTTTTTTTAATTAAGGGGTATTGTTGTTTTGTTTTAAAACACAGTTTCTCTGTGTATCGCTATCTATACTGGACTTCACTCTGTAGACCAGACTGACCTCCAACTCAAGGATCCATCTGCCTCTGCCTCCCAAGTGCTGGGACTAAAGGCCTGTGCCATCACATCTGGCAACTTTGTTTTTAAATGTAAAATCAAATATGCGTTGATACACATGCTTTATTGATAGTTTCTGTCTTGAAATAAAAATGCAAGGGACATGGATGGATGGATGGATGGATGGATGGATGGATGGATGGATGGATGGATTGATGGATGGGCAGGTGGGGTGAGTAGAGAGGAGCTATGGAATAAAGAGATAGATAATAGATAATAAATTGATAGAGGATAGATAGATAGATAGAAATAGATGATCGATATAGATGGATAGATGTTAGATAGACAACAGATGATAGAGGTAGATGATAGATGATGATGATGGATGGATGGATGGATGGATGGATGGATGGGCAGGTGGGGTGAGTAGAGAGAAGCTATGGAATAAAGAGATAGATAATAGATAATAAATTGATAGAGGATAGATAGATAGATAGAAATAGATGATCGCTATAGATGGGTAGATGTTAGATAGATAGATGATAGATGATAGAGGTAGATGATAGATGATGATGATAGATTGATTAATAGATGATAGATAGATAGATATATGACTGATGACAGAAAGATAGTTGATTAATGGTAGACAGATGTAAGATAGATGAAAAGAGAAAGAGAAGGAAATAGAAGAGAGGTCTGCTTTTGCAGACATTTGATGCCTACAAAAACAAAACACCATCTTCAGTGCCCAAGGGAAGCTCCCGAGCTAGGTGGACACAAAGTCACTCCTTTTTGCAGTGCCCCAAGGGACAGAACCAGGATAAAGGAGACAGATGGCTTTCTTTGTGAAGGAGCAACAGAAGTACCAGAAAATCAAGGTGTCACTTTTCACAGAGCACCAGTGGGTGCTGAGAAGGTGGGGGGATCCCTTCAAGCTCTCTGTGACTCCAACACCATATGGGAACTGGGAGGAGGCACACACTTCTCAAACTAATGTACGAGGCCAGCCCCAGGGCCCTTCAGCCCACCCAGCAGACCCCAGAGGACTGAAGGGTGCCACTGCCCGACCCATGGCTGTTGGCAACTTGGAACAATGCACACAGATCCTCAGCCCAAGGACAGTGTCTTGGCTTTGTGACCTACTACCGTTTGGTGGTGGGCAACACACTTCACCTCCCGTCATGAATGAGATGATTAATGTCCTGACTTGTGGCACCTCGATGAAGAATAACTAATGCGGCTACTAAGTACATGAGGCTGAGGTTCTAGAAACTTCCCCGGGCGTGTTCACATCATCCCAACACCTATTTTAAGTCAGAACCACAGGGGCCTTGTTCAAGCCTAATGTTGGAGGTGCTCTAGACTGGTCCAACTTGATGAGATCAAGTTCTCTGTATTCCTAACTTTATCATCCAACTCGATATTTAACGAATGGAATCTGATCAAGTCTGGACTCTGCCATTCAGTCCCCATAGCACCTGTTTAAGTAGAGGTCATTGCCATATTTCTAAATGGGTAAACTGAGGCAAGGAAAATTGCTGCCTTGTAGTTGTCTTCCTCAAGATGAGGTCAAGTAGTTATTGCTGATGTCTTATTCTGCCTATGCTTCTATACCAAAATTCCACAGTCTGGTATAGACTTACAAGAGCAAGCATTCATTTCTAATGGTAGGCAATTGAGGGCACAGCATAGTTTGTGCTCTGTCTCTAAGATGGTTCCTGGAATTCTGTGACCTTCTGAGTGGAGGATGGATATGTCTTCACACCTGATTCCATTCACAAAGTCCTGACCTTCACAATTCAGTCACCTCCCCAGAGCCACACTTTACAACACTGACATGTTGTGAATTCGGTCTCAACACAAGTCAAACAGAAACAATTTGTCTCCACTACTCCAGGGCATTTGAGTTTGGAGTTACAGAGCAGCACCCCTAGGCATCATTCGGGAGCATGTACATCACATCAACCTTGGAGCAGGCTGTGCTTTACAGATGAAAATAGAAACCTCAGAGAAGGAATGTGCCAGACTCACACGAAGGTGACAATACCTTTGTTCCAAAAAGGATGTATGAGAAGAGACTGGAGGCTACTGCCATTCCTTGCCCAGTTGGAAATGGCCCTCTAGTTTCCTTCACAACTCCAGCCCTCTTCCTCTCTTCTTAAACCCTAGACACTCTGAGACCCAGGGAGAGCCAGTGCCATCAGCAAATCCTCTGCACAGCGGTATCACACTTGGTTGGGTCTCAACTGTCTTACTCAGATAGGATGAGTCCTCTCGTGTTTGTCTTAGTTAGGGTTTCTGTTGCAGTGATGTCGTCTTACACTTGCAGGTAGCAGTCCATCACTGGGCCAAGCCAGGGCAGGAACTCGAGCAGGGCAGGAACCCGGAGGCAGGAACTGACGCAGAGGATATGGAGGATGCTGCCTACTGGCTTGTTACCGGTAGCTTGCTTCTCTTGTTTTCTCATTCATCCCCGGACGACCTGCTCATGGGTGGCACCATCCACCAGGGGCTAGGGCCTCCCATATCATCTCTCAATTAAGAAAATGCACTACAAGCCTGCCCACAGGTCAGTTTGCTGGGGACACTTTCTCAGTTGAGGTCCCCGCTTCTCAGATGGCAAATAGCTTATGTCCGGTTGATATAAAACTA